AACACAAAATAAATTAACATAACATATCTACAAGGCCTTAGGCATAGGATGTTCTGACCGTTTCAAGATAGTTACGCGATTCATGGATTTAAGAATCGTCTTCTTCTCTTGTTTGTTTCATTGTGGCTTTTCATTCTTCTTCGGAAGCCGCGTTAGCGCAGTCGATAGAAGACTCGCCTTTAAATTCAGCTGCGACTCGCTGCAGCCCTCGGCCAGTGTTCGAAACCGGGTGGTTCCTGAGAGCCTCAAGGAAATGGGTAACAGAGTTACTATTCTAAGGTAAATGGAGGAACGTCGCTGTAACTACGGAGTTACGTGCGGACGGCGACAGTTTCCTATCAGCTGTCCGTACTGGTGGGTAGAACATTTAGGGTTTATAACCGCGTGCAATGACGCTGGTTCACGTCTCCCGACTTTACCTTCAATCTTCGAGTTGATTATGTTATCTTTTTAAAGGTCGTTTAAAGTTGAAGGAATAAGAAAGACTATTATCCTCTTCTTCTTTGTGTTCACCAGCGGTAAACTCCAGTGGAACGTTTTGGCTGTTCTTCCAATTCTAGTCTTGTTCGGGAATTTGTGTTTGTCTGCACATATCTTCAATTTTTCGGCCATGTTATAAAAAGAAAGAAAATGGAACATGTTGCGACCACTGGAAAAATATGTATAAGGAGGAATATAGGAAGACAACGAGAGAAGATTTTTGACAGTCTTGTTGCATGGTATGGAGGTGTGTCAGCACACGAACTGTTACATGCTGCAGGAGATCGCAGATTGTGGAGAGGAATGACCACCGATGCCAGCGGCAAGGCACCTGATGCACATACGTTTTATTGACCTGGTTTATTCGCACGCAGGGTTGCCCACCTCCCAGGCTGATGCATTCCGACTCAGAACGAAAGCGCCCTAATTAGTCAATTTCTATGACATGCATGTTAGAGGGGCAATAACTCTATTTGTGTGTCCCTCACAATCGGACACAGGGACCCACATGGGAAAATACGATTATGACAATGAGATTATATCGAAAAAAAAGGTGAAGGAGTAAGATGCAAAATTGAAAAAAAAAATAGAAGAATATGACAAAGAAAAGACCAAAAAAGGCAAAGATTTATTTTAAAAAAAAAATGAAATCTAGAAATGACCACGAATCAAAAATTATATTTGTTCAAAAATCTGTTTAATACAGGCACAATTCATGTACACTGACAAAAGTATTGTCATATTAGAAAAAACAAAAAACAAAACAACATTGTGTTTGGAGAGCACCAGTGAAGTATATTTTCTTAAGCTGAATACTGCTACACTTGCTGGTCACTGCTGATACTGCAAACATGACTAAACTAACTTCATACAAATGGTTTGTCCCTCTGAAACTTTGCCCTGATACCAACCGTCACAAAGCGCAACAAAGAAGAAATACAATGAGACCTCTGACATAATTCTATCTGTAATCCACTTGTTGAACAAAGGTATAGTAATTTATCCTGTCCACTTCTTGGTGTTGTCATTCCAGGGCTTCTTTGTCCCTTCCCCCTTTTCTTCACAAAATTTGACCATATTCAACACTGCTGAAAACAGCTTTGGTTATACTAGTGGTCTGGTGTTACTCGTGCAAAGTTCAATGATTTAAATGATTGTTGTGCCAAGAGTTGTGGCTTATCTTTCCTAGCTCAGTGTGATGTTGTCACTCGGAACATGTCTGTCCTCTATGCTGGTCTTCTGTTTCTGGGGAAGTGATCCATTTTGTGTGCCTTCATCTTCCTGGCTGTGCTTGATGTCTGGGTGTGACTGTGTTATTAATGACTGGGCTGTTCTCCTTATTTCCTATGTGGTGACTTTTCTGGAGGTTTCATATCCAGTTGTCTGTCTTTGAGGTTCCTGTCCTTGTTGGGCTGTCCGTCTTCTTCTGTTGTTGACTCTTACTCTTGATATGGGTCAGTCTATTAAGGTTCCATGCTGTCCTTATAGCATTTCCAGCAAGTATGAAGGCTGTCATCGTACCACTTTGCACAGAACTGATCATATCACTTTAAAATTGTTGATCTCATTAGTGCTGGAACTGATATAATTGAAATTAACTTTCACATATGATAAGTAAAGAAAGGGACTTTATTCCACGCCTTTAGGCGTATAGGGCATATAGGGCTAGATCTATACTTTACAGACCAATCGGCACAAAATGGGTGATGTGGTCATCATCAGGCCGGCCACCTTTACTTCCTGGGATGGCACCCAGTACCCACTTAAGGCTGGGTCGACCTGGGAGCCAAGGTCATTTATGAAAAAGTCCAGCTACACCACAGAGCAAACTGATGACCTTCTGATCCGCAGGCAAGCATCTAGCCGCTACGCCACGGCGACTCCCCCTTTCAATATGATAGGTCCTGAAATATAAAATCTTTTCAGTTTTTTAACTCTTTCAGTCCCAGAGGGTTTAGCATCAGAGGCCCAAGAGGCAGTACAGAAAAACATAAAATCAGCTCATCTTGCATTCACTGGGCTTCTAGATAGGAACCTATATATGCATGATGTGTTCCTTGGGACTGAAAGATTTAAGGATTTTGACATAGTTCCTAACGTGGATACCACATTAACAAATTTATATTTATAGCATTTTCTGTACCAAACAGTTCGGAAAACATCTTTAAATACTCCATTAAATGCATATTTCTTTACCATGATAAATGGAATTAACAGTAAGAACATCCTCATAATACTTTGAGTGTAGCAATGCCAAGTGTGGATGCCAGGTCATTCTGTTGAGGATATAAAAAAAGAACAAATTTGTAAACAATTACATATAGTTTCAGAAGTCATACTTTAAAACATATTGTAAATCATATCCATCATTTTATATGAAGATCTTTATTGCTATAGTACTATATAGTTTACCGCAGTGTTCCTCAAACTATTTTGTATCCATGGCCCATTAAAACAAGGGAAACTTGTTTTGTGGCCCACTTTACAGCTGATCACACACAGGGAAAAAAATGTAGACATTAGTAATTTTATGATGCTTTATTAATATATTACCCCAAGCAGAGGAGGTCACAGGACAATCTAATATTTCGGGGGGTGGTAGATAGGCTGCACGCAGTCGTGGGACTTAGGCTGCACTCTCTCGTGGGATGTAGGTTGATTGGGGTTAGGGCCAGTTCTAGATGTTTTTGGGGTCATTAAAAATATCAGAAAGCCGGGAAACCCAGTCTTACCACCCTCTAAAATGTTGCACTGTTCTGTGACGTCATCTGGGGTCGGATATTAATAAAAAATGTAGAGAGTAGTATTTTTATTAAACTTGAAATGACAACATTGAAATTGTCAGCTAAAGTGACATCTGCTGCTGCACAGAGGTTAGAAAATCAATGCGGCTAAGCAGGGTTTCTGAGATTTGTAACTGTTTTATTTTCATCCTTGTGTGTTAAATCATGCATACTGCAATCATGGAAGACAAAAACTACCTATTCTACCCTGTTACATGATTAGGCAAAACATATGGCAGCCCACCTGGACTTTCCTCAGCTCACGAGTGGGCCGTAGCCCACAGGTTGAAAAACACCAAGTTTAAGAAGCTGTGGTAGCATAATGGTTAGACACTGGTCGAAGCCAAAGGTCTCTTGGGTTTTAATCAACATTGAGTCCGATTTTTTTTTTCATTTTTAGAATTGACTTTGGCTGTCAGGTCAGTTAAGGTTTAAATTAGTATGAAGGTAATGTTCTGGGAAGTAAAGATGGTGAGCATGCTGCTGACCACGTCGCCAATCGAGTGAAAGTCAGTAAAAAGTTATAGTCAGGGAACAATTTTCACACCACTGGTGCATGTGACCTATGATCGGTTAAAGGCCAATGGGAACTTATCAAGTGATGTAACCTACACCACACCATAAACCTTCCAAGACATTATTATCTGGTACTGAGGCATTTTTTTTTTTTTTAAAGTGCCAGTACTTACCACAAAGTATCTATATAAAGGTGCCTGTACTCGCCAGAAAGATATATTACAACTGTGCTAAAAACAATAAATGATGCCTTGAAAAAGTGTTGGTGCTGTGTACCATTGCATACCACCAGAAAAAAAACCTGCTTGGCAACAATTTTAGGCTGGGTTTTGCTGGAAGCAAAAGTTTATATTAAAAATAAACAAAAAAATTTCCGCTACGATGTTGAACTGTCTATATAAAGATGCCTGTACTCGCCAGAAAGATTTATTACAACTTTGCTAAAAACACTAAATGATGCCTTGAAAAGGTGTTGGTGCTGTGTACCATTGCATACCACCAGAAAAAAAAAAACCTGCTTGGCAACAATTTTAGGCTGGGTTTTGCTGGAAGCAAAAGTTTATTTTAAAAAGAAACAAAACAATTTCCGCTACGATGTTGAACTGAACCTAAGAGCTTTGGGCGAGCAGCAGAGTTTTTTTTTTCCTCTGTTACTCAATACCAGAACCTTTTTTGAAACAACAGTTGTATAGCACTACAGTAACAGACACGTTTTAGTCAGTACCTGCACCTTTCACAGAGACTTTGACGTCAGTACTACCAACTTGTATGTCTAGAAAAATTAAAAAAAACTCTGGCCAGTGGACACTTGGAAGTATGGGCCTCAAATTCTGGGTCTCCAGGTCTTAAGAGTTACAGTATTTTTAAATTATCTTCTAGCATTTTACTTGTCTGCGTTTATGATTATTCTTAAAAAGGTTGGAATATCCTAAGAAGGAAAAAATCCCTGTTCACGCCTTATATGCATCGGGCATATGGGAAAAGCAGCCCATATTTTTACAGACCAATCATCACTAGGTGGCTAAAGTGGTCAGCATTACGCCGGCCATCTTTACTTCCCCAGGACAGTCATCGTGGTACCCATTTTAGGCTGGGTTAACCTGCGATGCCCCATACCATGATAAAAATCTACGCAGCCAGCAGTGCGTTTCAATCACGGTACGTTGGAATTACATGTCAGACTCGCAACGCCTAAGCAACTGACGACTTGGAATATCTTACAGCATATTTAATCTGGTTAGCATGGTAAGGGATCCCTCCAAGTTTGTCACATTTTGCCATGTGCTTTTTCTCCGGATCTCCTGCAACCAGGACTTCAGTCTCACCTTCAGCCTGCAAGAACAGAAATATTTACATTAAAACATTGACATGGTCTTGATTTAACTTTTAAAGATTATGAATGATCACTCTTGTTTAGAGAAGCATTTTTCTATCTATCTGAGTTTTCTTTTGTTACACATTTGTTTTATTTCTTTAGCATGTTGAGCCATTGAGCTTCACTACTACAGATACCATCTGTCTTCATTCATCTGTGTGACTGGCATTTTCTTTCTAGATTGTGACTTGAAGTATGTGTAGTTTTGCATATATATTCTCTCCACTGTCTTCTTGGTCTGCCTCCAGTTCTACTCCCATTCAAATCATTTGTGTACACAGTTTTTGTCTTTCTGTAATCTACCATTTTCTCTATATGCCTCAACCATTAATATCTTCAGCCTTTAAAATCCTAGTGATCAATAGGATTTAAACAGATTATGAATTTCATTGTAAACTACACACTCTGCATTCTCTAATATTTGCATCTTTGATGGGCTGAAACATTTTTCATAACATTCTGCTCTTAAAAGCGGAAATGGAGAAATTATTTTGGCCTCCTACATTTATACTTGTTAATATATACAGTTTTAGCAGAAATATATAACTAGAACAAATAAATGTAGTAGTAAATCTTCTTCTTCTCTCTACTCCTGGAATGCCCCGTGGCATCAGAGCTGGAAGAGATCTCTGGAACAGGCCCTTTTCTCTTTGTATAATGTCCTTTTTAGTATTTCTGATATTTCTGCAGTCCACATCCTGAATGGTCAACCTCTGGATCTGTAACTGTTGTATCTCTATAACATTGCTGTCAGTGGTGCCCTGTCTGATGCAAATCATGTTTCATGGCCAAACCATTTGATTTGTTGTCTACCTATAAATTTTATACTTGGTTCTGTGCTGACTCTCCTCCAGAAATCATCGTTCCTAAGTTGATATTTCCTCATTACATCTAGCATAACATTTCATATCTGTCTTAACTATTTTTTATCTGTCTTCTAACGACAGAAGAAATGTCTGACATTGATAGAATAACGTTGGTAAGAATATTGCGTTGAACATGTTCTTTTAGTGTTCATATTCACATGCTTGCATTTCACAGTTGGTGCTATTTGGCCTAAAACTGATTGCCTTTATTGCATCTTTGCTGGATTTCTTTATTAACTCTTTCCTCTTCTGAAAACATCCTCCCCAGAAGTGTAAAATCCTTCACCTGCTTTAACTGGTGTTCATCAATTTTGATATTGGTTGTTCTTCATGTCATAAAGGGACACAGGAAAAATCACAATTACAGTCTGACTCCATTATAACCATTTAAAATCAGCTGTAAATCCAAATGAAACAGTTCATCATGTACTTACACTGGAAAGAGCAGACAAAAAAAAAAGCTTCCACAAATGATATATATATTAATAGCCATACAGCAGCTGCTTGCCTGCAGTTCCAAAGGTCATTTGTTAAAATCCACATGGAACCAGATTTCTTTCAAATGTGACTTTTTCCAGGATGATTTAGACTTAAATGGGTAACAAGTAAATCCTGAGAATTCTTCTTCTTCTTCTTTGCATTCAACAGCTGTAAACTCTGGCGGAAAGTTCTGGTTTTCCATCCACTTCTGGACTCTAGTCCTGTTCCAAAAACTGAGTGTTGCATGCACATCCGTTTCACAGGTCTGACTCATTTACATGCAGAATGTTAGTTCCTTGCCTCTCAGGCAGATGTACTCTGACTTCGAAGGAAGCTCCCGATTAGTCAACTCTTAAGACATGCTTGTTGGGGAGGCAATGGGTCTATTCTTGTTATCCCCACAATGGGACCCAGAACCCACATGGAGATCCTGAGAAGTAAAGGTGGCTGACATGATGCTGACCACACCGAGGGCTGATAGGTCCATACAAATACAAGTCTAGCCTCATATGACCAATCTGCCCCTGGTATGGAAGGGGCCTTTTAAAACCAGTACATTAGGAGACAGTAGTCAGATTGGAAAAAACTACAGCAGAAGGCATGGTACCAGGAAGGAGGGGCAGGTGCCGACCGACACGAAGATGGGCATAGGATATAAGTGACTCCTTGAGTATGAAAGTGCATGAGGCGGGAGAACTAGCGAGAGACCGAGTTTCTTTCAGGCAGACTGTGATGAGAGTGACGTTCTGCAAAGGACCTGCTACATGATGAGTCAGATTACGGAACCTATGTAATTTATGCTGGACTTCTTCTTAAAGTCCATGCTGTTTGGCGTTGGTGGTCATGTATCCACAGCCTTCTGTCTCCTGTACTTTTAGTCAACTATGACACAGATGATCCTCCCTGCCATGATGTCAAACAGTCAAGAATCTTTTCTTTCAGTCTCCCTCTGTCCCCCCCCCCCCCCCCCCCCTCTCCCAACTTTCCTACTGTCACAATGTACTCCAGTTTTCTCCTTCTCATCACATGATCAAAGAATGTATATTGTCTCTTTCTAATGTGGGCAATCAGTTCTCTTCATGAGTCAGTTTCTTTAACTCTTTGAGTCCCAAGGAACGCATCATACATTTATAGATTCCTACCTAGAGGCCCAATGAACGCATGATGCGCCGATTTTATGTCTCTCTTGACTACCCCTTGGGCCTGTGATGCTAAACCCCCTGGGACTCAAGGAATTAAGATATCCTCATTACTCTTTGTATCTGTCCAGGGTATTATTATCATTCATCTATAAAACTACATCGATGCAGCTTCAAAATAATTTTTTTTTACTAATCTACCAACTGTCCACGATTCACTTCATTTGTCAATATAGGATGTATATAGCTTTTAAGAATTCTTTTTCTCACCTCAACTGACAAAGAAAGATTACATAAAATTGTCTTAATTTTGTAAAATGCTGCTTTTTCTTGAGCTTTTCTTAGTTTGAGAGTCTTAGTCTGAACAGCAGCTAGATGAACAGCCATGACTTTCTGTTAGTTTACAGCTAGTGAACATGAAGAAGAAGGAAACTTATTAGCACTGAACATTTTGTTTTATTCCTCAGTTTTCTTAAATCTGTGATCTTCGTTTGTCAAAATATTTGGAGAATTCTGACTGAACAATTATTCTGAAATATGTCTTGTTTATGTGTAATTCTCACTGGACAATTATTCTGAAATGCGTCTAGTGTATGTGTAATTCTCACTGGACAATTATTCTGAAATGTGTCTAGTTTATGTGTAATTCTAACTGAACAATTATTCTGAAATGTGTCTAGTTTATGTGTAATTCTCACTGAACAATTATTCTGAAATCTGCCTAGTTTATATTTAATTCTCACTGAATAATTATTCTGAAATGTGTCAAGTTTACATTTAATTCTCACTGAACATTTATTCTGAAATGTGTCTAGTTTATGTGTAATTCTCACTGAACAATTATTCTGAAATGTGTCTAGTTTATATTTAATTCTCACTGAACAATTATTCTGAAATCTGCCTAGTTTATGTGTAATTCTCACTGGACAATTATTCTGAAATGTGTCTAGTTTATGTGTAATTCTCACTGAACAATTATTCTGAAATGTGTCTAGTTTACATTTAATTCTCACTGAACAATTATTCTGAAATGTGTCTAGTTTATATTTAATTCTTACTGAACAATTATTCTGAAATGTGTCTAGTTTATATTTAATTTTCACTGAACAATTATTCTGAAATGTGTCTAGTTTATGTGTAATTCTCGCTGTCATTGTCTGTCTACACATTGCTACTCACTGGCTCCAATCTCCTTAAAGTATTGTTTAGCTCTGTAAGTCTGTCAGAAAATCCTGGTGCAAATGCAGACGGATCAATTGCTATATAGCACTGACCCTGTAACAAAAACAAACAATATTTAGATGGTATTTTGACAAACTGGTTGCATAATATACTGGTTATTATCAAGTGCCTTGCTGGCATGGACAATCACAATTCTCCACAACTTCCAGCCTCTAAAAGTATGTATCTGTACTGGCACCCCTATGTGCAGTGCCAAAAAATGTCAAGAATCTTCGCACATTGTCTTTCTCTGACCATCTGTCCACAAATCTTTCTAGTCGTCACTAAGCATTCCAATTAATTTCTTCTCATAGGTTTTAAGGTTGCCACCTTTCCATCTTTACAGATGACAGTACTATATTGTGCTCTGGACTTAGATGAAGTTGGGTGAGTGAGTGAGGTTGACGAACTGCGCAGCTCTTCTTCACTTAAAATCACTACACAAGTCATCCTTTCATCTATCTCTTCAGAAAAGACAAGCCAGGAAAGACACTGAAGCAAATCGCCAGAGAAATGCGGCCTCAGTTCTCTGTCCACACTGCTCAATCAGCCATCAGCTCACTCATAAAACCGAATCCAGTCACCATTGGATGAAAGGACTGGTCATCATCAAATGCGATGGACAAACAAAAACATTATACTGTGCTACAGGGAAGCGTGGCAATCTCAGCCCATATATGACTGGTAAGACCAGCCAGTGTTAATAACACTTTCCACAATTAGAGATAAAGGTAAAGGTAAGTCGGGAGATGTGAACCAGCGTCATTGCACATGGTTTATAAACCATAAGTGCTCTGCCACCAGTACGGACAGCTGATGAGAATTGTCCGCCTGTGTCGCCGTTCGCACGTAACTTTGTGGCTACAGCGACATTCCTCCATTTACCCCAGAGTGTCAACTCTGGTAACCATTTCCTGGGTGAACCACGGGAACCGACCGTGGCTTCAGTGAGTCGCAGCTGGATTTGAAAGCGAGCCTCTTATCGACTGCGCTAACGCGGCGAATGGGATTTTAGGACCATTGTTGCCATCATATGTATTTAGCCTGCTTCTTCTCAGATGCTCAACCTATTTGCATTCATTTTGCCTTTATTTTTCCCACAGGCACAACAGGAAAAATAAATTACACATGAAATCCACATCTCACAGTGCTGTACCAAGCACTTTCTAAGTGGCTGGGCAATGGAACATTTGGACTCCTGATTCAGAAATGTGAAATTTGCATCTGCTTAATTAACCTAGCTGGAAGCAAATCACTTTTCTGAGAATCAGCGATCAGCCAATTATCAGCCATTTTGGCCAGAAGTTTAAGAATGTGGCGAACAGAGATTCAAAGAGAGAAACTATTGGATGAGTTGTTGAAGTGATGTATAAGGTGACCAGAAGCTGAAATTTAACTCTTTCAGTCCCAGAGGGGTTTAGCATCAGAGGTAAAATAGGTATTAAAACAAGATGTAAAATGTGCATACCTTGCATTCAATGGGCTTCTATGTAGGAACCTATAAACGTGTGATCTATTCCTTGAGACCGAAAGAGTTAACAAAACCAAACACACACCCATGCCCACACAGGAAGGAAATTGTAATTTTATAGATGATAAGTGATTTTGTGGTATTCTTGTTTGTACTGTAGATTTATGTAATGTGCTGATGAAGCTTCTCTGGCCACAGTGTTCTCTTGTCATTTGTAACTGTGATATTGTGATGCTGACCAGTTCTACATCTTGTCCGGGTGCTATCGTTTTATGGCATTGTTAATTTAGCATTTGACTGATGTACTGAACAGATGTTACAATGAAATGTGAAATATACAGTGAAATTACTGTGTGCCGTGCCAACTGGTGTAGGTGCCCATGCGTAACCACAGATTACAATCGCTGGTTGCCTGGAACAGCTCTCTTGATAATATCCCTCCATGCTATTATTTCAGCCCATCCAGCATCATCTCTATTGTTCTGCCGCTACCCCCTTTTCCACTGATCTTTCCAGTTGTCACGATGTTCTCAAATGTCTCTCTTCTCATTGTGTGGCCAAAGAACAGTGTTTGTCACTTTCTTATTGTTGAAAATAGAAATCTACTTTCATTAGCTTCTTTCAAGCAATCCTTGTTAGTTACTATGACTGTCCAAGGTATTTGTAACATTCGTCTCAGAAACCACATCTCTGCTGCTTACAAATTCTTTTTAATTTGTTCACTGACATTCCAAGATTTGCTGCCATACAGCAGAACAGGTTCTATGTAACATTTTAGCACCCTCTTTCTGACTGATTAACTAAAGGTTAAAATGAGATATAACTGCCAGCATTTACCACTTCTTATGGCCATGTGGGATAGAGGCAGGGTCAGATTTAGACTTGATGAGTATATGTAAAGCTCTGAAGTCCCTACCATTTTACATCAGTTAATCTCTTAAAACTGTAAAAATATATAAGTAAACAAAATATGGAAGTTGATGCAAATTAGGCTGATTTTTGTATTCAGTCTAAATATCTTACAATTCGTAACAAATAAAAGCCTGAGATAATAAACCTACAAATAATATTAATAAAATCGCAACATTTCTGGTGAATTTTGTTTCAAAATATTTGATAAAAAAAGAAAACAACATCTGTGAAATAAAGAAAAGGAATTATCGGAAGCCCCAGCAGACTGTGAAGACCTAAGCTATAGTTTAGTTACCTTATGCTTAAGTCCAGCACTGGATAGCGGTCTTGTGAGTCTAAGGGTTTAAGAGTGCCTAGCTTGTGCCTAAGTTCAACACTGGATAGAGATGCTGTGAGTCTGAGGGCCTAAGAGTGCCTAGCTTGTGCCTAAGTCCAACACTGGATAGAGATGCAGTTAGTCTGAGGGTTTAAGAGTGCCTAGCTTGTGCCTAAGTCCAACACTGGATAGAACGAACGAACGAACGAACGAACGAACTTATTTTCAAAGGGTCACAAATTGGGCACGCAGGCCCGTCTTACATTCGGCCCTTCCAGTCAACCATCTTTCGCACAGCAGTTGTATTTTACTAATAAAGCATGTTATGATCATATGATGTTATGCATATTATGAATATTATAAAAGAACACAAAAGCATGAGTTGTAAAGTGCATGCAAAAACCCGCGCGTGCATACATACACCCGCATACACACGCTCACCCACTCACTTACACACACAAACATGCATGCATACATTACATACATACATACACAGATACATATAAACAAACATGCATACACACATACACACAGGCATACGTACACACAAACATACAGGCATACACACATACAGTCATAAATCCAGTCATGCATGGAGACACACACATACACACACGGACACTCCCACAGAGACACAAACACTCAGACAAAAATACAGACACACACACAGACACTTACATATAAACACACACAGGGAAACACACAGCACACAGGATAGAGATGCAGTGAGCCTGAGGGTTTAAGAGTGCCTAGCTTGTGCCTAAGTCCAACACTGGATAGAGATGCAGTGAGCCTGAGGGTTTAAGAGTGCCTAGCTTGTGCCTAGCTTGTGCCTAAGTCCAGCACTGGATAGATGCAGTGAGCCTGACCGTTTAAGAGTGCCTAGCTTGTGCCTAAGTCCAACACTGGATAGAGATGCAGTGAGCCTGAGGGTTTAAGAGTGCCTAGCTTGTGCCTAGCTTGTGCCTAAGTCCAGCACTGGATAGATGCAGTGAGCCTGACCGTTTAAGAGTGCCTAGCTTGTGCCTAAGTCCAGCACTGGATAGAGATGCAGTAAGCCTGAGGGTTTAAGAGTGCCTAGCTTGTGCCTAAGTCCAGCACTGGATAGATGCAGTGAGCCTGACCGTTTAAGAGTGCCTAGCTTGTGCCTAAGTCCAGCACTGGATAGCGATGCAGTGAGCCTGAGAGTTTAAGAGTGCCTAGCTTGTGCCTAAGTCCAGCACTGGATAGATGCAGTGAGCCTGACCGTTTAAGAGTGCCTAGCTTGTGTCTAAGTCCAGCACTGGATAGAGATGCAGTGAGCCTGAGGGTTTAAGAGTGCCTTGCTTGTGCAGTAACCATGAACTGTGCATGTACACGTTTTTAGTTTCGCCTTCAAGAGAAAATATCCATCCCTGACTGAAAATTGAACTCGAGCCTCCCGCATGAGAGCCCAGTGCTGTAACCACTTGGCCAGCCGCTGCTCTGTGCTCTGCATGAGTTATGCCCTTAGTGCATGGGCATTTACAGCTTGCTCTTCAGGCAGAACAGGCCTATGTAGGTGTTGCTGGGAATGAAAGGCTGAGAGACTGGAGGTGCTGCATTAATTGAAGATGGCCGGCCCATGGATCACGCAGATATTGTCATTGCCCTTAGAGAGATGGGACGTTCTGAGGATTTTGGAAGCAACATGTCCACATCACTGCTAAGAATACGCAAACTGGGAGTAAAAATTGGACAGCCAAGCATGAGAAGCACACCGGATGCAAACGAACTTGTTAACCAACATAGGACTGGCACTATTAACTGCACAACACTGATGAATATGTTGAGAGCGTAATCTGAGCGCCTATAGATGTGTCCGGAGTGCTGTAAAGATAATCTAAATCATAACTCATTCCCTTACCCATATCGGACTGCAGGTTGCAGCTAGCTGATGTCGACATTATGGATGTCAGAATTATAACTTCTTTGGAGGCTATAACTTCTTTGGAGGCTATAACTTCTTTGGAGGCTATAACTTCTCTGGAGGCTATAACTTCTCTGGAGGCTATAACTTCTTTGGAGGCTATAACTTCTTTGCAGGTTGGACTGGGTATCTGGAATCTGCCTTGTTGGCCAGTCATCCAGCTTGAGATTCTTTAATCTCAAGATGGTATGGTAAACCATTAGGTCACTGCCTGGAGGGGACAAACTGATTGAAGCGAAGCTGCTGTTGAATAAGTTTTCCCATACAAAAGTGGCACTTTACTCTTACTTACCTACTTAGTTGCTGCTCTTCTACCTTGGAGTGTAGAGTTTTACAAGAGAGATCACCAGACGTCTCTATCAGCAGTTTTTTTTTTTTTCTGGCTTTGTTCCATTCCAGTCCTCTGTCAGTCAGGGACTGTCAGATGTTGTCTTCCCAGCAGACTCTAGGTTGCCCTTGAAGTCTAATTCCCTGATTTTTAGCCTGCCATGGTGGTCGATTTTCTCCCATACATGTCCACACCATCATAACTGTGACTGATCCACTCTCATTTGTAAGGACTGGGTATCAAAATCTTGATGTATTGTCTGATTACGGACTTTGTCCCTTTTTGTCACTTGGACCACCTTTCTCAGATATCTCATTTCTGAGGCCTGAAGCTTCTGTGAGCTGTTTTGATTGCCCATGACTCACGCCCACAGGTCAAGACTGGCACATAGGTAGAGCGGTAAACAGCTATTTTCATTCTCTTGCCAGATTCTCTTTTAGGGCACTTTACTCATTTACTAATAAATATGGCACACTGAACTGATTTACTGAGCAGATATCACACATTGCACTGTTCTGTAAATGAACAGTTTTACAAACCACATTAGCAATTCTGTCTGTTGTCTTCCATCTTCTGATGTTGCTACCAAAGTCAGCCCCGGCCAAAATACCACAGAACAGTTCTACCATCATCGCAAGACCATATCCCTTGTAGCCACCTGTAGATAGAAGAAAGTTGTAGACAAAAAAATGGCAAAAAAGGGTTAAAATATAACATCAACTTCACTGTTCCAGGTTTTGATCCCATAATTCTTGATCTTTCTCCTCAGACACATAGCCACCTGCCTAGAGAGTCAAACAAAGTAGGAATTTCAAAGTTCCACTGCTGATGGCAGTGTAAACAAGACAAGTGTTTTCCTTCGTATTTTCAAAATAGAATTTAAATGTTAATGCTCAATAAATTATGCAGTTAGAAATGATTCTAGGAGAGGCCCAGAAAGCCGTGAAATGATTTAATTATTGAAACATCAATGCTCAAAATAAGAAGAGGAGGCAAACAAAATTATATTGGAGTAGTAACATTCAGGGCTACATGACATCAAAGAATTAAATATTTTGGTCATCTGTCCAGAAAGGAGCAAAATCAGCCAGTGGACTGCATGAGAACAGTGGGCTCCGAGGAAAGAGACCGACCAAGAAAAACATGAATTGAGGGAGTAAAAGAGACACTAGAGACATGCAGTATGACAGTAACACAAGCTATGCAACTAGAAAAAAACAGGAATGTACACCTATGTCCTCTCTGTGATGCTTTATGACATCAACAGTAGGAGACAAGACAGAAAACTACATCCAGCTCCTCTCTGTTATGCTTTATGACATCAACAGTAGGAGACAAGACAGAAAACTACATCCAACTCCTCTCTGTTATGTTTATGACATCAGCAGTAGGAAACAAGACAGAAAACTACATCCAACTTCTCTCTGTTATGTTTGTGACATCAGCAGTAGGAGACAAGACAGAAAACGACATCCAACTTCTCTCTGTTATATTTATGACATCAGTAGTTGGAGACAAGACAGAAAACTACATCCAACTCTTCTCTGTGATGCTTTATGACATCAGTAGTAGGAGACAAGATAGAAAACTACATCCAACTCCTCTATGTTATGCTTTATGACATCAGTAGTAGGAGACAAGACAGAAAACTACATCCAACTTCTCTCTGTTATGCTTTATGACATCAGAAGTAGGAGACAAGACAGAAAACTACATCCAACTCTAAATACATACAACAAAAAACGGGAAACTACACTGAACTCCTCTTGATGATATTTTGAGACATAAGCTGTAGACAAAACAAGAAAGAAGAAGAAGACTGTCAGTTCCCAGGGATCTCTGTGAACGCTGTAGTCGTGAACTGAACTGCACTCTATTGAACTGACCCACCATCTTCAGATCACAAGTTAGCTTTAACTGGATTTAAATCGATGAAAGTGCAATGTTTTCACCCCTCTGTCCTTCCCATTTTGAACCTGGACCCAGTATACACACATTCAGTTATTCATTCCCTATCCTGTTCCACTTGTATGTGTCACAATAGGGCCTGCAGTCTGTTTCTCCATTTTGTTCAGTCACTTCAGTATTTCACTGAGTAGGTTTGAGCCAAGTAATCTGCTTGTCTGGCCACTGACCTCCACAGAGCGACTTTCATCATGGGTGCACACTGTGCACCATTGACTCATTTGCCTTTCAAATTGACATCCTTTCCTGCAAGCTTCTGTAGCAAATAAAATCTTATAAAGGGTGAGGCAGCTGACCCATGCCCAACCCTTCTTCTTTCTCAACCAGTCTTGGGACCTGCAATGGCGGAGATGTTATTCACTAGGGATATTCAACTGGCAGCCCACTTAGCAATTACCAACTGTATTGTAATAATGAAACTACTGGACGTAAATTTGCCTAGAAAAACCACACAACAGCCAGGGGCTGTTGGGGTTGGTTCTGCAATGTCCTATAAAGGACACGCAACTAACCTATTGTAATAATGATCTTTCTATGCTTAGGGTTTGTGTCTCTGGCCCATGATGATCCTAATTTTTAGAAAAAATGTTGGCCGCTGAATGTTAAATATTGAATTAAGAATCGACATCATAGCACTTGGGACACTCCCATAAGTGCTCCATCCCCATCTTAAGCAGGAAGCAAAGAGTTCCAATACAGATGGCACCAGTAACTGTCTGATTGTATATCCGTCTCACTTTCCCGCTGAGTGTTTAGCATCTGCCAGATTCCCTGATAACTCCTAGCAGAGCCATTCACCTCAGACCATAATGATCTATCTGTGCCTCGGCACTGTTCACTCACTCCTAAAGGCCCTCACAATATCTAGCTTGTCATACATCAATTCACCACCAAGTGGTACAGAGCCGGCCTAGTCTATCTGCCTGCTTATTTCCTAACACATCGACATGACCTGGAAAAAATATCCAAAGGACGCTAACTATTAAATGTTGGCCTCTGAGTGAACTTAGTTGATTAGCCCTGATATACACAATACTCACAAACAAAGACACATACAACCTACTGCATTCTTCTGTTCCTCCCAGAGGCATCAGCCCTGTAGCTTCTGAAGGACTGGTTGTTGCCTGGAAAATATGACATGTATAAGTAACTTGACTTTCAGGATCTTCATGTGGGATCTGGGGCCCCAATGGGTGGGAAGGTAGGGGTGGGAGACACATTGCCCACTAACAAATGAATTCCAGTAAAATGTGACTAAAAAAGCTTAATGAAACAGGGAAGTAGAAAAACGTGCACAAAACAACATTTTGGCTGGTGGAGTTTCTCAAGCAAATAATGAACGGTAAGAAAGAAGCGAGTATTTAAATCTCTAAGGGATGACGTAAAAAAGGTTAGTTGCGTATCCTTTACAGGACGTTGCAGAACCAACCCGAACAACCCCTGGCTGTTGTGTGGTTTTTCTAGTCAAATTTATGTCCTGTAGTTTGCCATTGCTTTCTGGACGGTCGGCTTTCCTAATACTACTGTCGAAACCAACGCAAGGCGCATGGCCTGCAGCTGGGATCAAACCCAGCATCACGAAGCGTTCACATCAACTTAGCCATAGAGCCGACATGGTGTAAAAAACTTCTAAAAAAAATGTAATCCTTGGTATTAGCTTGACTGCAGTCGCCACCATATTTGCCCCATAAAAAGCATGCCACAAAAGGTGACTAATTAGGAATTTGATGAAACTGAATGCGTTAGCCAAAAAACACAGAGATACCACTGCCTAGCTTTAAAGCACAATGTGCTGACCATAATTTTTAGGGTGAAAGGAGAAGAAAAAGAACACTTCCAACAATAACATAAAATGTATCACAAAGTTTTCCATCATAAAAATGTGGCTTTAAGGACAACAGAAGTAGAATCAGACAACAAGTTATCACTGAACATTATATAAATCCCTAGCCAGAACTTTAGAGTTGAATGCTTATCATGGCCTGAAGAGAGAGGCTTGTCAAGTGGTTAACAGCTCCAAGTTCTCATGTGGGAGACCCATGTTCGAATCATTCGTAAAGAGATGGAGTTTTTTATATGGGGGAAAAATACAATCCTAGTATGCACAGTCCAGGGCCACTACACCAGCCCTGAAACCTCAGCCTCAAGAGCCCTCTTGTCCTACAGCATGCACCTTCCTTTTAGTAACATACAGATGTAGTCATCGACTATCTCCCAGTCCTTAAGGAAGAAATTGGGGTTTTTGAGCTGAAATGCTACACAAAGATTCACAGAATACCATGGACCAAGAAGAAAAGAAATACTGACATCCTAAAGGATCTGAACATCGAGGAAGATTGCCTAGTAAACAGCATCTTGTCTTAGAAACTAAAATATTTTGGCCATAGACAGGACATAGTTTTCATGCATTTCACATGAAATACACAAAGGACATAGGCAAGATAATAGTTTTCTTGCATTCAAATGAAAATTGTATTATTGGTGTAAAGACTACTAACAATTGTGAACTATCAATTGAAAATGTTATTATTGGTATAAAGACAACTAACAATTGTGAACTATCAATTGAAAATGTTGCTTCTGGTATAAAAACTACTAACAGTTGTAAACTATTAAATGAAAATGTTGCTTCTGATATAAAAACTACTAATAGTTGTAACTATTAAATGAAAATGTTGCTACTGATATAAAAACTACTAACAGCTGTAAACTATTAAATGAAAATGTTGCTCCTGATATAAAAACTACTAACAGCTGTAAACTATCAAATGAAAATGTTGCTCCTGATATAAAAACTACTAACAGCTGTAAACTATTAAATGAAAATGTTGCTCCTGATATAAAAACTACTAACAGTTGTAAACTATTAAATGAAAATGTTGCTACTGATATAAAAACTACTAACAGTTGTAAACTATTAAATGAAAATGTTGCTCCTGATATAAAAACTACTAACAGCTGTAAACTATCAAATGAAAATGTTGCTCCTGATATAAAAACTACTAACAGCTGTAAACTATTAAATGAAAATGTTGCTCCTGATATAAAAACTACTAACAGCTGTAAACTATTAAATGAAAATGTTGCTACTGATATAAAAACTACTAACAGTTGTAAACTATTAAATGAAAATGTTGCTACTGATATAAAAACTACTAATAGTTGTAACTATTAAATGAAAATGTTGCTACTGATATAAAAACTACTAATAGTTGTAAACTATTAAATGAAAATGTTGCTACTGATATAAAAACTACTAATAGTTGTAAACTATTAAATGAAAATGTTGCTTCTGGTATATAGACTACTAACAGTTGTCAACCATCAAATGAAAAGGTTTTCTGGTGCTGGATTTTTTTAAACTTTACCTTGCCTGAGCTGTCACAGCCCCATCCAAGTGGAATTTTTAGCCCTTTCCTCTCACTGAGTTCCAGCTGAAAGATAATGATAATCAAGCAATGAGAACCTTTGTATTTATAATTACTGTAAGAAATCTAATTTGTCTGTTGCATTTTCATAAATATAATCATTTCTAAATAATAAAAATTGAAAAAAAATGGTAGCAGCAAAAGAAGAAGAAGAAGAAGAAGAAGCAGAATATGATAAATAGGCAAGTCACATGGACATACCGGTGATTACCTTGCCTAACGCTACAGCTGTGGTAGCCATATCAAGCACAAAGCTGTCTCCATTATTTGCAGCAGCAGCACAAGCTATAGGATTAGTTCCCAAGGTTGCCTGCAAATGAAATAAGCAAAATCAAATAAATGCTTTTGCTATACCCATATTACTTTTCTGCTACTACCTGAAATACTAATGACATATCTTTTTCTTCTTTCTCTAGTCCTGGAATGCCTTGCGGCATCAGGACAGGAAGGGATCTCTGAAGCAGGCCTTTTTGTGAGCTTTGTACAAAAGTACTTTTCAGTGTTTCTGATACCTCTGCAGTCCATCTTCTGCGCTGTCAACCTGGTGCCCTGTCTGATGCCATTCTTGTTAGATGGCCAAACCATTTGATTTGTTGTCCACCTTTAAAGTTCAGTATTCATTCTGTGCCAGTTCTCCTCCTGATATCCTCATTCCTAAGTCAATCTGTCCTCGTTAAACCTAGCATATTATTTGACATATTATTAGTTGGAATTCCAATTTCTCAGGAAAACTGGGCAGCTCCATAATTGCTCCATTTAAATGCCAGCAAAAACCAAACATAATGCTTTGACATGTGAAAAGCATAATAGACAGCAGCTGTGGCACAGTCAACAGCATGGACACCCGCACACTAAAAGGGTACACATGAAAAGCAATCCACGTGAAATCCACAAAGGACATAGACAATCGTTTTCTTGCAAAATCCTATATGCAACATATTGCATAGCTTGTTTGAGGACAGGTAATTCTTTCAGTGACTAAATGATATTGATACCAAGAAATGTAAATCCCCCAAAATTTCATGATAATTGCCATTTGGTCTTCCATCCTTATTAAAACAGCTGATTATGCATGATTAACTATCTCATCACAAGTTGCCCAGTTGAGTCCCCATAAGTTTGATGTCTGAAAATTGACATTTTGTTCCTATTCTTTTCCTGGCAAATAAACCACACACAAAAATTGCTGAGGTTACAACCTGGAATGATTTATTTTGCAATATAAAACAAACAGCAAATAGATTGAATGCCAAAATAATAATAATAATAATAATAAAAACATTATTCATCTGAGTCCAAAAAAATATAAAATCCAAAGGAAACCAGTCACTAAATATTTAACCAATCCCAATAAGTCTGAAAGAGAGAAAAATAGTAACTAAGTCTTAAAGAAAATGACTCACAAAGAGAACTGATTGCCCTCATTAGAAGGAGACAATCTTCATTCTTTGGTTATGTCAAGAAAATGAGAAAACTGGGGTACATCATGAAGGTGGGGAAGCTGGAGGGGAAAAGAGGCAGAGGGAGACAGAGAGAGAAGATGCTGGGCAGTTTGACATAATGGATGGCATGGAAGATCATCTGTGTCTGAACTGATAGAACTTACACAAGACAGAAGATTGTGGATAGACATGACTACCAATGCTATAAGAAGAAAGGTATTTTGAGAGTATTTTATGGCGAGCTCCAGCAAGGGAAGAGGTCCCAGGAAGGACAGAAAAAAGCGCTACTAGGACACTCTGAAGACTGCTCTCAATTCTATTGGCATCAACACAGCGATCTGGGAGGCTGCTGCACAAGACGGTTCTGGATGGCCGTACGTCTTTCAGGCATGGTGCATCAGCCTGCCAGGCATTGGAGGTTGCACAGGCAGAGAAACGGAGGTGGACTAGAAAGAATCGTACTGATAATCCCATACTTACTGCGGCTTCCATCTGTTGTCCACACTGCTCAAGAACTTTCCAGGCTCATATTGGCCTAATCAGCCACCTTTGTACTCATAATCATTGATCATTACTACTTTGGATGAAAGTGGCCTTCATCACTCGTGATGGACGAACAACATAAGAAGAAGAAGAAGCCTGATCCTTATTGTTTGGAGAGGGTAATAACTACCAGGGCATGGACTATATGAGGAAAGGCAAGATTGACATATAATTTAACAGCTACTGGTACCATCAGAACTGGAACTTTTGTTGGCTGCTAAAGATGAGGATTGAGCACTTATGGACATGTCCCAAATGATGTCAATTCTTATCTCAACACTGGTCTAAAAATATGTGGTCCAGGGCACTCAACACTAGTCTATAAATATGGTCGCACTTTATAAAGCAATCACATGGTCTAGAAATATGGGGTCCAGCAAGGCAATCAACACTGGTCTATAATATGTGGGTCCACACTCAAAACACTGCTATAAATGTGGTTCCAGCACTTTATAAAGCAATCAACACTAGTCTAAAAATATGTGGGTCCGGCAAAAAAGCACTCAACACTTCTATAAATATGTGGGTCCAGCTTTATAAAGCAATCAACACTGGTCTATAAATATGTGGGTCCAGCACTTTATAAAGCAATCAACACTGGTCCCAGCACTTTATAAAGCAATCAACACTAGTCCATAAATATGTGGGTCCGGCACTTTATAAAGCACTCAACACTGGTCTACAAATATGTGGGTCCAGCACTTTATAAAGCAATCAACACTGGTCTATAAATATGTGGGTCCAGCACTTTATAAAGCAATCAACACTGGTCTATAAATATGTGAGTCCAGCACTTTATAAAGCAATCAACACTGGTCTATAAATATGTGGGTCCAGCACTTTATAAAGCACTCAACACTAGTCTATAATATGTGGGGTTTTATAAAGCAATAACACTGGTCTATAAATATGTGGGTCCAGCACTTTATAAAGCAATCAACAATGGTCTATAAATATGTGGGTCCAGCACTTTATAAAGCAATCAACACTAGTCCATAAATATGTGGGTCCGGCACTTTATAAAGCACTCAACACTGGTCTGCAAATATGTGGGTCCAGCACTTTATAAAGCAATCAACACTGGTCTATAAATATGTGGGTCCAGCACTTTATAAAGCAATCAACACTGGTCTATAAATATGTGGGTCCAGCACTTTATAAAGCAATCAACACTTGTCTATAAATATGTGGGTCCAGCACTTTATAAAGCAATCAACACTAGTCTATAAATATGTGGGTCCAGCACTTTATAAAGCAATCAACACTGGTCTATAAATATATGGGTCCAGCACTTTATAAAGCACTCAACACTAGTCTATAAATATGTGGGTCCAGCACTTTATAAAGCAATCAACACTGGTCTATAAATATGTGGGTCCAGCACTTTATAAAGCCCTCAACACTAGTCTATAAATATGTAGGTCTAGCACTTTATACTCAACGCATCACTGATGTGAAACAGGTTTCTTTGCTTTAGTATTTTTTTTTAAACATAACTATGACAATGAAAACGGGTAAGACTGAACACTTATGGCTTTGTCCAATGTGCCATGAGGATAACTGGTATATTATCTAGTTCCAGAGCAAAGAGAGAAGAGAAAAACTTCTTTTTTAAAAACGAACACATTTGATTGTGGATACAGATATACTAACCTTTTTGGCTCTGGTTGGTACCATTAGTGGTGATGTGTTCGTGAAAGCCAAACCCTGTGTATAAAACAAACAATATGATACAGTGACTTTTCGGATATAAAGTTTAGACAATTAGAAAAGTGGTTTCTTGCCAACTAGCGTAGGCGCTCATGCATCTCCACAGATCACGATCCCTGGTTGCCGGGAACAGCTCTTTTGATGATATCCTTCCATGCCATCATATCAGCCCATCCAGCATCATCTCTCTTGGTCTGCCTCTACCCCTCTTTCCAGCTGTAACAATGTTTTCCACTGCCTCTCATATATATATATATATATTTACACTCTGGCACCTTTCTGTCTTTCCAGATGATAGTGTTATTTTGTGTTTTGAGGAGGCATAGGAACTTGCATGGCAATGGCGAATGTAACTAACAAGACCCACCCACATTAAGAAAAGTCTTATAAAACTACAGCATGGGTTTTCAGGACCGTTGTATCATTCACATATACATTTACATACATATGTATAAACCCCTATGAAATGTTTTCTTTTTACTCTAACTGTTTGAAAGTAGATTTAAAAAAATATTGAACTTGACAATCTATACTTCCACAATATTACACAATTAATACACAAGCTATACATATCTCTCTCTCTAGGCATAAATATCCATTGACAAGAAGGGACAAAGTCCGCAATCAGACAATACGTCAAGATCTTGATACCCAGTCCTTACAAACACGAGTGGATCAATCACAGTTACGGTGGTTTGGACATGTATGCAGAATGGGAGAAAATCTAAGAAGAACGAGGGAACCAGATCTCTAGGGCGGCCCAGGGTGCGCTGGGAAGACAACACCCGACAGTCCCTAACTGACAGAGGAGTGGAATGGAACAAAGCCAGAAAGAAAACTGCTGATAGAGATGTCTGGCGATCTCTCTGGCAAACCTCTACACCCCAAGGTAGAAAAAGAGCGACTAAGTAAGTAAGTATAAAAAATCCATTTTTGAAGAAAAAAAAACAATGAAATATCTCAATTATAACCATGAGGGGTTGAACAAGATATTGTTGCGTAAATTATGAATCATTCTACAAATGTTTCGGCGAGGTGCTGACCTCATCACCCATCTTGTGCCGATTGGTCTATAAAATATAGGTCTAGCCCTATATGCCCTTTACGCCTAAAGGCGTGGAAAAGGGACCTTTACTTTTTTTTTACTACAAATGTTTTCCCCATGTCATCTCCTTGTGCGTCTGTCGCTTAGGCGTTGCTAACGAGCTTTGTAATGCTGGGTTTGATCCTAGCTGTGAACGGCCTTTCTTGCGTTGGTTTCAAAAGTGGTATCTGAAAGCCAACTGCCCAGAAAGCAATGGCAAACTACTGGACGTAAATTTGTCTAGAAAAACCACAACAGCCCACCCAAAAAAATGCTGATGTTGGTTCTGCAATGTCCTGTGAAGGATACGTAACCAGATTTAACATCTCCGTGTCACTGATGGTTTTACAGAGTATGATGCACTTACTGAGATTCTCATTGTGAAAGCAGTGGAAGGTGACTGTAGCACTTACTGATATACTACAACTCCAGCCCTCTCCCCTTTTTTCTGTTGTGGGACCCACTGTTCCTTAATAAGCTTGTAATAGGAGTCAACTAATTAGTAATGTTGCTTTGGAAGTCAGAGAGGCAAGGAACCAACAGTCTGCATACAAATAAGCCAGATCTGTAAAACTGATATGCACACAAAACCTAAGTTCTGGAACAAAACTAAAATCTATAAGTGGGTAAACAATCAGAACTTTCTACTGGAGTTTAAAGCTGGTGAAGAAGAAGAAGAAGAAGAAGAAGAAGAAGAAGAAGAAGAAGAAGAAGAAGAAGAAGAAGAAGAAGAAAGAAGAAGAGATACTCATGTGCAATGGAAATGCTCCTTGACACACCAGATCAATGTATTAACAAAGAAATGATCAAAAACACTTACTATCAGACCCTGTTCCATTGCTCTCATAGCATACCAGCCAGCAATGCCAAAGTGGTTTGAGCCTGCAAGGAGTTACACTTAAGATATGTTTATATAAGAAATGTAACTATTGTTTTTTTTTTTTAGACAAAAATTCTGATTATAATGAATGTAGGAGCCGCTGTGGTGTAGTAGCTAGATGCTCATGTGTGAATCTGAAGGTCGTGTGTTCACCATGTTGCAGAGCAAAACCTTTTTTTTTTTTAAAATTTCCTTTCAAAAATGACCTTGTCTTCCAGGTACACTCAACCTAAAATGGGTACCAGGTAGAGTCCTGGGAAATAAAGGCAGCCAACATGATGTTTAATACATCACCTAGCCACCCATCGCTGACTGGTCTATAAAATATAAGCCTAGCCCTATATGCCCAATAAGCCTGAAGGCGTGGAAAAGGGTCCTTTACTTACAATGAATGTGCACATGTGTGTGTTGTGTGTTTGCATGTATATACACATACATATGCACCCACCCATCCATCCACACACACACATACATGTTCATACAGACATGTGTGCCTTGTGTGTACTAATGCTGATAAGTTGGGTAGATGTCTGTATATAGATGTGCGTATGCATGTATACATAGATTAAATGTTGCAATTGGGCTTTAGAGTTAAAACTCAGGATTCTAAACCAACAAACACACTACAGATGATAATAAATATTTTAGAAGAAAAATAGGTTACAGCTGAAACAGTTCATAAGAATGAATATTGCATGTGAGTTTAACTTTTAGGTTACCATGCAACTCAACATGCCTATGTTGGCTCGTCCAAACACAGTAGACATTTCTGACTCTCTTCTACCACAGATAAATGACTCTTTCCACATCTTCCAGCGTACTGGGCATATGGTGCTAAACCTATATTTTATAGACCAGTCGACACTAGGTGGGTGATGTGGTTAACAGTACATTGGCTCCTTTTACTTCTTAGGATATCACCTGCTACCCATTAAAGGGCTGGGTTGACCTGGGAGCCAACGTGATTTTTTTAAACTAATCCAGCTGTGTTTGGAATTGAACCCATGACCTTCAGCAAGCATCCAACCACTACGCCATGGTAGATCATTTCTATCACATAGATTTTTGTTACATTAAATCACTTTATGGGTTAAGAAGACTCATACTGAGTGTAACAAAAATATTAGACTCAGTGATTCTCTAATAACCAAGTCACAAAGTGTCACAATTTTGGGGTGCTTCCTTCGGAGTCAGTGTGCGTCTGATTGAGAAGTGAGGAACTAACAGTCTGCACAAAAAAAGCCAGAGCTGTAAAATAGATATTCACTCGAAACTGAAGTTTTGGAACAAGACCAAAGTCCAGAAAAAAATCAAATACTCAGAACTTTCCACCAAGTGAACAGCTTGTGAATGCTCAATAAAAGACAGTAGTTGTATTCATTCCCTGCATGATCATTCATAGTCTCATTACCTTTATCTCTCTCTCTCTCTCTCTCTCTCTTGCTGTACCCCACCAGGACATCACACAAGCGATAAACACCCAGTGACAGAAAGTGCCACCATCCGGATGAGGATCACTCGTAGAGAGGTCCCAGAAACCCCTTTCAACCATTAGGCCATGTTTATGGCCTGGCTAAATTCAGGGCCCCTGGCAAAAGCCAGGGTGGGCTTTAAATAATGAAAAATTGCATCCTACATGGGGGGCGACTATAAGTAACATGTGTTTTGTACTTCTGACCCACAGTTTTAGTGTTCTAACATTTGTGGATATGTTAAATTAGAATTTCTCAAGCTATAAGGAATTACAGTAACCACAAACTGGCACATAAAATAAAGAGTTTTATTTAAAAAAATTAACTTACCATTTGCAGAGACCCATCCAATCCCTGCTGTCTTTGCTTTCCTTATTGCTGTGTCTATGCAAAATCTCCCAACTACAGGTCCTGCAATCAGATGCTTAGATTAGGAAATATGCCAAAGGTGTAAATGTAGTATGCAAAAGCTTTATGCTAAAGCCAGCACTGTCGCGCTGAACAGACAAATAGGGAGCTGGTTCTAAACAACAGTAGGAGTCTTACAGGGTGTCCCCTCTCCCCAACACTGTTTTAATCCTTGGTAAGGTATTAACAACACATGTTTGTGGTAGTTTCTCTTTTAGGTGTTCTGGTAGTCCAATGCCTGGCTGGTCTTGCGCTGTGTTGCGGATCAGTGGGATGGTTGCTCTGCTGTCATGGCGGGTTAGGGTGGTTCTGATTGGCTGGTTGGTGTGTCCAAGGAGGGGGTCTGCTAGCCCTGAAAAGGACTAGCAGATTTTGCCTGGAGCGGCTTTACGATGTGTTAGGGTAGGCAGGTGCAATTTCGGTGGGCTTCTTACACCTTGGCTGTCTGGCACTGGCTGTGTTAGCATTGATTAAGATGCATGTCATAAAAAGTGACTAATTCGGTTGTTTGGTGAAATCAGATACAGTGGGCTGGGAAGTACAGATATCACAGCCAAGCTGTAAACCACAATACAGTGTGCCAAAAAGAAGAATTGGAGGAAGAGGATATACACATATGATTTATTTTTAAAATCAACCCTGTAATGAAAATCAACAAACAAAAGTAAAGTGAAAAGGAAACATAGTGAGTTCACACCTAACAAATTATTTCCCTTGACCAATGCTGTTGCTGAGGTCTCCTTTGCTATTTCTGGCTCCTTGTCACTGACACACATGCCACTTTCTATGTCACGAACATACATATCTGTGGAAAACAGATAAATATGTGTATATTTTAACAATTTATGATGTTTTTAAGATACCCCACTGAAATATTCAAAACACAATATATTGTGGTCATATCAAATGCCACAGCAGATTGAAAAAAAATAATAGTAGAAGGCTTGGTACCAGGAAAGAGGGACAGGGCCAACCAGCATAAAGATGGGCCCACACATGATAAAAGTGACACCATTTGTAGTGCACGTGGTGGGAGAGCTGGCAAGAGACTGAGTGTCTTTCAGGCAGACTGTTATGATAGCAATGTTCTGCAAAGGACATGCTACATGATAAAGATGATGATATTTTCTCTTCTGAAAAGTGCTTTCTAAAGAATTTAATTTCAGTTGCTGTAGTTTTTTTTTTCTCTTTTTGTGTGTGTAGGCAGTGAACTTTATCATCCTCTTGTAGGTCATCATTTTTTGTTATTTTTGCCCCCCCCCCCCTTTTCCTCGGCTGTTGCCGGGATCCCGAATATAACCTAAATGGTTGAACAGGGTTTCTGGGACTTCTCCACAGGTGATTCTTATCTGCATGGTGGCACTTCATGTCACCAGGTATTTATTGCTCTGTGTGATGTCCTGGTGGGGTAAAACTTACTCACCCCCTTCTCCTTTTCTGTCATTTACAGAATATCACCAGCATTTGGTGGATGTTTTACAAAGCAACTGTAATTTTACAATGTCAATTTTTATGTTCAATAGTTTGCTAATGCTTTCTTTACAATTTGACTATCATCATTATTATCAATCTGCAGGTCCTTAACAGAACATCACTCTCAGCATGGGCTGCCAGAAAGTATCTCTTTAGTCTAGCTAATTCTCCAACCCTATGTGCTTTCACAGCCAATGCATCTCCAATGTCATGTATCCACAATCGTGGAGGTCTGCCTCTGCCTCATTTTCCAGAAACTGTATCCTCCAATCGCCGTTCTCTCCATCCCACGTTGACATTTAAAATGACCAAAATACCTCAGCTTTTGGGAGAGGATGCTGTTTATGAGCCAATTCTCCCCAATGCTCAGACCAAGTAGAATGTTGGTGTTTTTCTTCTTCTTGGTCCATGGTATTTTAAGAATGAGGCTGCATTAGCGCAGTCGATAGGAGACTCACTTTGAATTCCAGCTACGACTTGCTGCAGCCCATGGCTGGTTTTTTAAATCGGATGGTTCCTAGTGTTTACCCAGCCTCTAGGAAATGTGGTACCAGAGTTAACACTCTGGGGTAAATGGAGGAACGTTACTGTAGCTAAGGAGTTTCATGGCGGACGGCCACAGAGGCGGACAGTTTCTCATCAGCTGTCGGTACTGGTAGCAGAGTACTTATGGTTTATAACCGTATGCAGTGAAGCTGGTTCACATCTCCCGACTTTACCTTTTACCTTTATTTTAAGAATTTTATTTCAGTTCAAAAGCTCTAATTTTTTTCTTAAGTAAGAGCAAGAGTCAAAATTTTGTTGACTACAATACCACTGTAAAATCAACCTATTGTAGAAACAAAAATGTCTGCACTCTGAACTCTGTAAACAGAAAAACATGGTTCGAACATTGAGATTGCCCTGATATAAACATGCATTCACTTTTAAATGTGGTTGAAATTGTACTTTAGTTATAAAAGATTCAATATTTTTGCTTCATTTATGTAATTGTTACTGTAGTATGTATGTGACAAAATACAGCGAAATATGCCAGGCGATAAATTCTGCAATCTATTGTTTGTGTCTTCTTTGTTCAAATTTACAACAGGGAAACATTGCTTTGACTTTCTGAAAAATGACTTTAACTCTCTCAGTGCCAGGCAACTCAACACATATTTCCTGGTTATTCTATACATGGTATAAATTCCCAACTTTCTTGTCTTCCATTCTACTTTCACATTAAACCAGTGCTTCCCAAACTTTTCTTAGTCGCAGCGCCTTTTTTTCAATTAAAATGTTTCTACAGCGCCCTAATCCTAAGTAAAAGTATGACTATTCTTTTGGGGGTAAGAGATTAAAAAAAAAAAATAGAACTTGTATGTCTTTGAATATCTCTCGGCGCCCCTGTGAAGATGTATTGGGTCCCTGGGGGCGCCTCGGCACACAGTTTGGGAATCACTGCATTAAACTATTCTGGTCATCATCATCATCACTGAGCTGCTCTATGGCTTAGTTTAGTGAATGAGGTTAACAATTTCAAGATCCTTAAGTACTACGCTTATTTCCCCACAATGGACTGTAAAAAAAAAAAAAAAAAAAGTGGCCCTCATGGTTTTCAGACAATGATACGAGAGCTGTGCCATGGAGGAGATAGAGGCCTCAGCACATAACAGGCCCTATGCTGTGACAACATTAGTACACTAGCCAACTTTCACTGTGAAGATGGCACAGATATTTCTCATCATCATCACAGTCATGTCCATTATTCTGATCAGCCATCGTCCACTTCTCACTAGAATGACAGATCATGTCTGTGTTTTTATCTCTTTTACCATGTTGCCAAGCCATCCAGGTAATTAACTCTTTGTCTTCCCTTTGATCTTTTACTAGCAAGTTTGTCAGTTGTTACTTAGTTTTCAAATTTACTTCTTCTACAAAATTTTCCCCAAAACCTGTAATGTTTACAATAAACAAAAAAGTTTCATTAATCATTAATAGCTGAAACAAAGAATCTTCTATACTTTAACACATCCAGGTACTTTCAATGTTCATAAAAACATGAACTTCCTACCCAATCTGTTGAGACCATGGCTAAAATGGCCTCTGTAGTCTGCAGCAACCAGAAGATCAGCTAGAACGGAAGCATGGTCCCGTTTGGTGCCCACTTTTTCCATACAACGAATAACAAATGCATGAAGTTCATCTCGTGGTACCACAGTCTTCTGTGTTCTGTGCTGCTCCTTTGGAATCACAAATTTGAAATTATTACATTCAGTATATGAGTTGAGTAGAGTTGATTCAAGAACCAACATCGCAGCACTAGGGGCATTCCCATAAGCGCTTCGTCCCCATCTTAAGCAGTCAGCGAAGAGTTGCGATACTAATGGTGCCAGTAGCATTCTGATTAAACGTCCATCTTGCCTTCCCTCTGAGTCTCGAGCATCTGCCAGAACTTCTCGTTACTCCCCCCTGCATCAATCTCACCAGACTGTGGTGATCCATCTGCTCCACAGAACTGTACATTCAGTATATTAAAATACTTAATACAAAGAGTAAACAAACAATGCTTTCCTTCATTTTGACCTTGAAGACAGAAATTCTTTTGACAGCCACAAAGATCAAAGCGATGTTATTATAAGTCATAATGACACAAAAGAATTGCTTGTTTTTACTCCACATAATATCTCGAAAACAATTGTTTTTGTAAATATAATCCTACCAACCACATCTAAACGCTGTTCAATTGGAACAAGTTTGAAAGCTGTCACATCAGTTAATTGGCCACTGGCCAAAGAAGTCATGTCATTAGGAAAAAGAAAGCACTGGACGACTAGCTTTTTTAGTGCGACAGAGTTCAAACAGTACAACAGATTAACTAAAATTGCTATACACTGAAGGGAGACATTGATGTTGCAAAGCAAAACTACTAATAATTTCAGTCACGTATTAACAAGTCAGAAGAGTGACTAGTTAAGCTGGTAGAATGCTGGGCTCTTATGTGGTAGCCCTGCTTTGAAACTGTGAGTAAACTTGACATCTTTCTGTTGGGGAAAACAAAACAACAACCTAACATGCAGTTTGTAATGAATGCACTAACCATGCAGTGCTAAATCTTCAACCTTGAGACCACCCTGTCTACCCAAGTCCAATTTTCCTCTCTAAAATGCAGGAAGCTAAGTCTATAACTGCCAATTTTAAGTTTGAAATTTATAGACTGATATAGGCTGTTCCATAAGGCCCTCCACAATCCAAGTTTTTAAATAATTGCAGTCCACATCATGACAGTTCAGTTGTGTAGTCTGTGATGTGAAAACATGCCATCGTGAAGCAAAGTCACTGTGGAGGGACTTGTGAAACAGCGTATGGCACAATGTGAAAACGCAATTATCTTAAAAGTGCACTTATAACGTATATACGCTAGCGGTTCTCAAACTGTGTGCCGAGCGTATGCCAGGGGTGCCGGGGCAATAAACAAGTATGTTTCACAATCTGATTGAGATCAGTGAAGACAGCAGTTTAAAACAGAAACACTGTGAAGGAAGACAAGAAGAGATCTGGATTCAGGTGTATTCAGAAGACAATGCTATTGGCAAGACTGCAGAGCACTGTCAATGTACGCCTACTTAAAAAACTTATACAAGAGCAAACTTTCTAGGTCAACTGATAATTTACATATTATAGGGTTAAAAAGAAAATTACTGCTATGCATATTACAACTGTTACTGCTGCTTCTACCACTGCTAGTGTATATGGACAATACGGGGCCCAGAACCAATCTTTGTGATACCCATCTGTGTCTTAGTTAGTTGAGGGTCGAAGTCTTGAAATGAGTCCAGTCATTACTTGTTTTCACTACCTGTACACATCAGTACAGCAATATTTCCCCAGACAACTGTAGTAGACTCTGTGTGGTGACCACAGGCACTTATGTTTTTTTTTTCTAGGGTGGAAAAAATCAGTGAGTCTTGTCATAGCAAATATACAAAACATCGTTTGTGTAACCTTTCTGATTCTGTGTTACTGTGTTAACATATGCCATATACACATTGTAACACTGTTACAATGGGCGTATATGATACATAATATTTTTATATATGTTTACCTAATATGTTTAGTTTACTTTTTTAATATTGCATAAATTAAACAAAGGTTGCACAGCAGTAAATAATAAAAAGGCTGACACTACATGGAATAAATTAGACCTCTTAGAATAGAACAAAACACTAGATTATCAGTTTTTTCTCAAAAACAGTCGCATCCCCCTGTGGGTTCTCTTCCCAATGGGCCAGGAGTCGGTAGAGATGTTTAAGGATAGACTGACTCCCCTCTAAAAACATATAGGCCCTGTGTTGTAAAAGTGAGAAACCGAAAGTGAACACACTCGTGAGTCAAAGGGAGTAGAAGGGATGTGTATGCACAATTTCTTCTTCTTCTTCTTCGCGTTCACCAGCTGTAAACTCTGGCGGAAGGTTCTGGTTGCTCGTCCACTACTGAACTGCAGTCCTGCTTCAGAACCTGAGTGTTGCGTGTGCATCAGTTTTACAGATCTCATTCTCTTGAATACAGACTGTTGGTTCCTTGCCTCTCCGGCAGATGCACTCCGACTTCAAAGGAAGCTCCCCAATTAGTCGACTCTTACGACATGCTTTTGGGGAGGCAGTGGGTCTATTCTTGTTTTCCCCACAATGGGGCCCCGGAACCCACACGGGGGCAATGCACAATTTAAATTCTGGAACAAGCAAAGTCCAGAAGTGGATAAACAACCATAACTTTTCCCTGGAGTTTACACAGCCGGTGAATGCCGAGAAGAAGTCAGAAGTAAACATTGAAGAGAAGGAAGAAGAAACGGCTACATCTCTGACCTGTCATTTACCGTAACGTTTTAAAATAATTCATCCACAACATACCTTTTTTTTCCTCCACGAAATAATAACTGACTTTACCTGTCTGTGTGGCCAGAGAACGGTGAGCTCTGAACTGCAGAAGAAAAACACGTCTGATCATTTTCCAGTATTGTTTTATGTGTGGTATCTATATCTTTCTACGGTTTGAACAGTAAGATGTGTACCACAACACTGTTACGCGGAGGCAGGTGTGTTATTCAGGAGTTCACAGCATGGCAGGAATGCAAATCCTCGCTGTTGTATGTAAAATAATCGTAGTAAGTAGGTCAGAAGTACAGTAAGTGAAGTTGTGCTAGTTGGACTGGCTAGAGGCTTTGGTCAAAACTACAAAACTAGATAAACATGTGTGTTGTAACTAGCCTTGGGAAGAGATAACGTTTAATTGACAATAAGAACTTTCTATAGAAGATACTACAGGTTATCTCCAAAAGTGGTTGTCGTAATCTGTTAATTTCATTTCCACACAATTACAGATAAATCGGTTATAGACAACACACACTAGCGCTGTTGGTTAAACCTGACTGCTCAGCGACAGGGTGACGAACTCCTTGTTGTCCGGGTTCACGCCCGGGGTAGGCAGAAAAGCCACATTTTTCCCATATTTACATTATCTATTAAGGAATTAAGACCGAATGGTTGCGATATCTATAGTACCGAGGCTAAGGGTTAACAACTCGTGGTTTCGGGACACACACACAAAATTAAATTAAAGATAATTTCTATGAACTATTAACAGAGGAAGTAAAAAAAGGAGGAGGAGGAGGGGGGGGGGGGGGGTTAACCCACATCAATAATACCATACGAATACACACAAATTACTGAACCTCCAGGGACACAGGTTCATTTCCTAAAATGTTCTTTATTTCTTTATAATGCAGCATTAGCCTGTCCTGTTCTGTTCCTTATCTATGTGATATATCCGTCATATGTAAAATACCTATGCATGCGTTGGTTTAGAGAGCGCTTTAAAAAGGGAGGGTAGTAAAGAAGTCTTTCGTTTACAAATATATGTTGCAGTCAGTGGTTATCCTGACTTATGTGGCTAAGGAGTTATGAGAGCAGTTACATTATTCCAGCATCCCAGGTTAAATTCTTTTGTGAGTCGTGGACAATCTCCCAGTCCTTAAGAAAGAGAATGGGGGCTTTTGAGCTGAAATGCTATAGAAAGAGTATCAGAATATTTTGGACAAAAAAAGATGAGAAATACTGACATCTTGAAATATTTGAACATCAAGGAAGATTGGCTAATAAGCAGCATCCTGTCTCGGAGACTGAAATATTTTGGTCATATAAAGCGCCACGACAGATTGGGGGAAAAAATAGCAGAAGGCATGGTACCAGAAAGGAGGAGCAGGGGCCGACCAACACAAAGATGGGCACAGGATATAAGTGACTCTTTCAGTATGAAAGTACATGAGGCAGGAGAACTGGTGAGAGACCGAGTTTTTTTTTTTTTTTTCAGGCAGACTGTGATGAGAGCGACATTCTGCAAATGACCTGCTACACGATGATAATGAATTATTCTGACAAGCAGTGCTTTTTTTTTTCAAGCGGTTAGTGACTCAGACGTTTGTAGCTATACACGCGTATTGCTCAACACTGTCTTCTTAGACTAGGCAGGTCTTACTATAGGCAATTTGTTGTCCCATTATAAGGGACCAAATCGTGGATCCTGGTATAAGAGTTAATTTAAACTGCACGGTTAGTCTTCAGAAACCTTGTACCAAAGATTAGAAGAACTTTGGTACACCCATACACATGCACACACAAACACCCAAACCAACGCACACAAACACCCAAACCAGCGCACACAAACACCCAAACAAACGCACACAAACACCTAAACTAACGCACAGAAACACCCAAACCAACGCACACAAACACTCAAACCAACATTTTCAAACACCTTCGACAAGTAAGTAAACAAGTAAAGGATTTTTTCCCCCACCGGTGGCACTTGGTGGTACATGGTTCTAAATTCACATAGAGCAATCTGCACTCGGTGGCTGGTGATGTGGTCAGTAGCACACCGGGCGCCTTTACTTCACAGGGCATTGCCTGGTAACAATTTCGGGCTTGGTTGACCCAGGAGCCAATGTCATTTTTGGAAAAGGGAGAAAGGAATTCCCACTTGAGGCGGGTTTGATGCAGATTTCTTTTTCGTCCTTCTTCTTCTTCCCGGTAGGAGACTGCAGACTCCGGTTTAAAGTTTTGGTTGTTCATCGAATTTTGGTTTTTAGTCTTGTTCGAGAACTTGAGTCACGTATTCAAACTCAAGAACTTTATTTCAAACAAATCCTGTAACGTGGACTAGTGGGAGCGTAGGTGGCTAGCTACTCCCGAGCAGGTGGCAGGGGTTCAAATTCGCATCGAAGTCGGACTTGAAAACAAAAAGGATGCATCTCGTC